ACTGGGAGCACTGGGAGCAAACTGGGAGCCAAACTGGGAGCACTGGGAGCCAAACTGGGAGGGAACTGGGAGACAAACTGGGAGCACTGGGAGGGAACTGGGAGCAAACTGGGAGCCAAACTGGGAGCACTGGGAGCAAACTGGGAGCACTGGGAGCAAACTGGGAGCAAACTGGGAGCACTGGGAGCACTGGGAGGGAACTGGGAATGTACTGGTCTGTACAGGTCCATACTGGTCTGTACTGGTTTATACTGGCCCGTACTGGTTTACAGTGGTCTGTACTGGTCCATACTGGTTTACACTGGTCCATACTGGTTCCCAGGACCTGGGCGCGGCACAGCCCGGCTCCTCGTCGGCGCCATGGACCATACTGGTCCATACTGGTTTATACTGATCTATATTGGTTTATACTGGTGTGTACTGGTCCATACCAGTCCATACTGGTTTACACTGGTCCGTACTGGTCCCCTGCAGGACCTGGGTGTGGCACAGCCCGGCTCCTCCTCGGTGCCGGTACACATCAGTCTGTACTGATCCAGACTGGTTTATATTGGTTTATACTGGTCCATACTGTTTTACACTGGTCTGTACCGGTCCGTTCTGGTCCATACTGGTTTACACTGGTCTATACTGGTCCCCTGCAGGACCTGGGTGCGGCGCAGCCCGGCTCCTCCTTGGCACCGGTACACACCAGTCCGTACTGGTCCATACTGGTCTATACTGATCTGTATTAGTTTATACTGATCTGTATTGATTTACACTGGTCCGTACTGGTCCGTACCGGTCCATACTGGTCCATACTGGTCTAACCGGTCCCCCGCAGGACCTGGGCGCGGTGCAGCCCGGCTCCTCGTCGGTGCCATGGACCATACTGGTCCATACTGGTCTATACTGATCTATATTGGTTTATACTGGTCTGTATTGATTTACACTGGTCTGTACTGGTCTATACTGGTCCATACTGGTCTAACCGGTCCCCCGCAGGACCTGGGCGCGGCGCAGCCCGGCTCCTCGTCGGCGCCATGGACCATACTGGTCTATACTGATCTATATTGGTTTATACTGGTCTATATTGATTTACACTGGTCTGTACTGGTCTATACTGGTCCATACTGGTCTAACCGGTGCCCCGCAGGACCTGGGCGCGGCGCAGCCCGGCTCCTCGTCGGTGCCATGGACCATACTGGTCCATACTTGTCTATACTGATCTATACTGGTTTATACTGGTCTATATTGATTTACACTGGTCCGTACTGGTCCATACTGGTTTACACTGGTCCATACTGGTTCCCAGGACCTGGGCGCGGCGCAGCCCGGCTCCTCGTCGGCGCCCGTGGCCATCAGCGCGCACCAGAGCGAGGTGGGCTGCGCGGCGCTGAGCGCGCCCGGGACGCTGCTGGCGTCGGCCTCGCGCCGCGGGACCCTGATCCGCCTCTTCTGCACCCAGAGCCGCGCGCGGCTGCTGGAGCTGCGCCGCGGCACCGACCCCGCCACGCTCTACTGGTGCCACTGGGACTGGG